CTAAGGAGTTAAAGAAGAAGCATTCATCCAGACCAGGAAGTAGGGCAGAGACTGGAAGCTGGGGTGGAGAAGACTCAAGGCAAGGTGGCAGCTGGACAATTGGGTAGGCAAGGTGGAGGTTTTCAGGCCAGTCAGTCACACATTCATGCACAGATAAATCAGGAAGAACAACAGGGGAGGGAGACAGACCGTGCAACCCAAGGTCCCACCACTAGGGAAATAAAGCCTCAAAACCTCTCACTGTAAAAACCTATGGGAATTGTGGTGGTGGGAGAAACTCCCAGCCTCACAGGAGAGTTTGTTGGAGAGACCCAACTCTAGGGTCCTAGAGTGTACACAAACCCACACACCTGATAAATAGCCCAGAGGGCCCAATTTGCTTGTAGGAAGCAGGAAAAGTTACTGAAAGTCAGTGGGGAGATGAGCAAACAGTATTGTTCCTTTTTGAAACCCCTCCCCCACATACAGTGCCACAACACAGTGACATGGTTTGCCTCACCCTGGCGAATACCTAAGGCTCTGCCTCTTATTACTAGAAGGCACAAAGATACATATATATATATATATATATATATATATATATATATATATATATAATATCTCCCAAGTGAAACAACAGTTCAAAGCTCCAAAAATAGAACTAAGCAATGAAGAGATAGCCAACCTATCAGATGCAAAGTTCAAATCACTGGTAATCAGGATGCTCATAGAAATGGTTGAGTATGGGCACATAATAGAGGAAGAAGTGAAGGCTATATAAAGTGAAATAGAGGAAAATGTACAGGGAGCCAAAATATCACTATGGGAAAAAAACTGGGACTCAAATCAACAATTTAGAGTAGAAGGAAGAAATAAACATTCAACCAGAACAAAAATAAGAAACAAGAATTCAAAAATAAATGAGAAGAGGTTTAGGAACCTCTGAGAAAATTTTTAATGTTCCAATATCTGAATTATAGGGGTGTCAAAAGAAGAAGAAGAGCAAGAGCAGGAAATTGAAAACTTATTTGAAAACATAATGGAGAACTTTTCTAATCTGGCAAAGGAAATAGACTTCCAGGAAGCTCAGAGAGGCCCAAAGAAGCTAGACCCAAAGAAGCACACACCAAGGTATATCATAATTACATTACCCAAGATTAAAGATAAAGAAAGAATCTTAAAAGCATCAAGAGAAAAGGAGACAGCTACCTACAAAGGAGTGCCCATAAGACTATCAGCTGATTTCTCAAAAGAAACGTTAAAGGCAAGAAGGGGCTGGAAAAAAGTATTCGAAGTCATGAAAGGCAAGGATCTGCATCCAAGATTACTCTATCCAGCAAAGCTATCATTTAGCACAGAAAGGCAGATAAAGTGCTTACCAGATAAGGTCAAGTTAAAGGAGTTCATCATCACCAAGCCCTTATTACATGAAATGTTAAAGGGACTTATCTAAAAAAAAGAAGATAATAAAAATATGAATAGTAAAATGACAACAAATGCATCACTATCAACAACTGAACCTAGAAAAAACAAAAATGAAAGCAAACACCTAAAATTGAAATAGAATCACAGAAATGGAGATCACATGGAAGGTTATCAGTAGGGAGGGGGAATGGGGAGGATAGGGAAAGGTGCAGGGAATAAGAAGTATAAATGGTAGGTACAAAGTAGACAGGGAGGTTAAATAGTATAGGAAATGAAGAAGCCAAAGAATTTATATGTATGACCCATGAACATGAACTAAGTTGTGGGAAATACTGGTGGGAGGGGCAGTGCAGACAGAGGGCAATAAAGAGGAGAAAAAAATGGGACAACTGTAATAGCATAATCAATAAAAAATATTTTAAAAAATTAATTAACTAACTAAATAAATAATAGGATGATGATGTTAGATGATAGATAGATAGATAGATAGATAAGCAGATAGATAATTAAGAGGGCCTTGCATGGACCAATAATAAGCATTTATTACAAAAAAAGATTTTTCATATAAATCTATGTATGTGATATCCAATAACTAGACACTAAATGACAAACTCCAGGAATAAATATCTTCCTAACACACTGTTTTCAGGCTTGCTCATCTCATCTTCCACTTTTCACAGCATCAGTCATAAGTCACAAAGGAGGAGGGCAGGTCCTTGTTTATTTCTTTGCTCATTTATTACTAATATGTCTTGCTCAGAAGACTCACCCTGAAGCTGGACAACAGATAAAGCAATTCCTGTTCCAGAGTTAACATCTGTGTTATTGGTCATACAGTCCCCAGTTTGGGCCAGCCAGGTGAACTTCTTCTCTGTGTGTTATTCCAGATTCTTCAGGATGTCAGAGCTACTAAAGCATCCTTAAATGGCCCACATTTGGAGTCACTGTATGCCCTGGCCCATGGGCTCAAGTATCTGTTCTGTAATCTCAGGTTCACGATGGAATCTTCTTAGAAGGACAGGGAGGGCTGTGACCTGGGGGAGGTTTGGTGAGGGAGGTGTGGGATGAAGGCCCTCTACCTCAAGAAGGAAAAGAATGGAAACATCCAGAAATGGAGACGGGGACTCAGGGGTGGATGTGGGAGGCACTGCTGCTGGCCGGTTCTGAAATAGTTTGAGCTACATTGACCAAGGGCTTGTGTTACACCTAAAGTGTAGCCCCAAAACAACTGAAAACTTCACATTACTGGGATTTAAAATGGCCTCTGTACTTATTTCTAGAAAACCTAGGCTTGAACTCTGAGACAACATTAGCCCCTGGCACTCTTACCTTTTTGCCTTAGGGCTCAATCATCCAAAAGGTAAATACTTGGTTGGTGTTTATCCTCTCTGCTAGGTTGCAAGATCACTGAAGGCAGTAAACATGTCTCTTCTTCCAAATTTCACTGCTGAAATCCAAGCTGAGCAGGATATTCACTGGCCCTACCTGGGACTCAGAATGTGCTTCTCAGATGAGAATTGTTGGAATGACTTAAGTGAGAGTATTACAGGAGATAGGACAGGTGATGGCAGAAAGAAGAGAGACTCAGATCAAACTTTGGGCTGAGGAGAAAAGCCATGGAGTAACGTCTCTAGCAAGGGTCCTGGAGGAGGGTCTGAGTAGAGCTAGCAGGGCTCCCAGATTTCCCTGAGGACACCCTTTCACTCAGGATGCCCCTGCCTTAGGCATCACCTGGCAAAAAGGTGACTTTCCCCACTTCCGAATCCTCTTCAGCCTTGCCACGTAGTTGGGCATATTGGGGGACCATCATCAGAGTGAGCAAATGGCTGCTGTTAGTGCCTTCACCCCACACCCCCCTCACTGAACCTCCCCCAGGTCACAGCCCTCCCTGTCCTTCTCAGAAGAGTCCACCGTGAGCCTGAGATGACAGAAGAACATACTTGAACCCGCGGCCCTGGCCATGAAGTGACTCCAAATGTGGGGCCCTTTCAGGATGTTTTAGTAGCCCTGACATCCTGAGGAATCTGGAGTAACACATAGAGAAGTTCACCCAGCTGGCCTAAAGGAGTGCAGCAGTAAGACTGAAACTAAAATAACACTCAGAGGGAAACTGTGGTCTTATTTTCAAGCAGAGAGGACTGGAAACTGGCCCAGCTTTCCCCTGTTCCCCATCAGAAACTCCATTCTCTCTGTCCAGGGCCATTCATGTTCCCACGCAGAATTTGAAAGAACTTTTGAAATCACTGATTCAAAATGAGTAAATTATAGATTGGAAAGAAAAAGAAGACTGTGGCCTTTACTATTAATTTAGTACTTAAAAACAGATGACCAGTCCTTTAGGCTTGTAGCATTAGAAACATTAGCTCTAATGAAATTTTACTTAATTTCATTTAATTAAATTTAAATACATGAATGTTAAAGTGCCAATGATCTTTTTATGGTAAATATAAAGTATTACTTTGTATCATCATTAACTGAGATAAAATTTGATGAGGGACATATCTGCCATATCATAATGAAAGAAAATGGGAAATAGCATAAAGCTCAGCTATTACGAGGTCTTTGCTATTATGAGATCAAATGAGGCTCACAAACCATGTCTGCCATCGTCAGCTTCACAATTAACAACCATGTTTGCAAGATGGCTTATTATCATTGTTTGCACAATTTTTTCTTAGCTTTTCCAAGCACAAGAACCTTTTCCTTCTGTGCTTCCTTCCACAGCTTCTACTGTGGTAGAGCCAATAGGACATATGCCACAGTCAGGGAGAAGTGGACACATGGAGGCACAATGAAAAGACCTTTTTCTCCCCCATCTTACTAATCCTTCTCCTTATAGACTTCTTCCTCCTTCTTCTTAATAATATCAATTGTTAATCCTGCCACAGCTAGAGTTGTAAGACCCTTCTCCACCCTAACACTTCTGCTGCTCCCCATGCTGCCATGTAGGGACCATGAGGTTCGCGTAGGAATTTTTCTGTCTTATACAGAAACTGGCTTCAAACCTCCATCCTTCAGGCCACATCACATTCCCACAAGACAATGACTTTGTCTGGCTGTCACTTCCCAGAGAACATCTGAAGGCTCCATCTCCCTTTGAGACCTGCAGTGCAATGGGGCTGTGACCTCCAAAGCTGGACTCTTAGGCCTGAGGTCTTTGTAAACACTTTTATTTTAGTACCTCTTTCATCAGATCCAATATATTCCCTTGCCTAAGTGATGGTCCATTCAGACTGTGAGGTACTTGAGGGAATAAACATGTCAAATATATGTCTATATTATCATTATTGCTAAGTGAAGTGTCACTTAGAGAGCCTGTGTCAAAGCATGGAAGTGAATGAACAAAGGTGCACCAGCAGGTCTAAAGCAGACTTGAATGGGAAGTATTTGGCAGTCCAAGGACATCCTGGTCCCATCTTATTAGAACTTTAGGTTCCGGCCCAGGGAGACACTAGAGGCAGGTAATTAGGAAGTATGTGGACTTGTCATCTCCCCTGGTTGTGAAAGCAGCAGCATGCTCAGGCCATGTGTCACAAACCCAGCACAGAATAAAAGGGCTCCTGACCTGCGCTCCCTATCCACAGCCTCCTCAGGACAAGCTTTCTCCTGCCTCTGAATCCGGTGAGTGCTCAGCAGGGCATGGGACTCTAGCTGAGATGCTACAGAGGAACATGAGGGTCATAGCAGAGGAGAGGGAACCTGAAGGGTCTGGAATTTTCATTGAAATCCCAGAGACTGGGCCCCGAGAGGGCAGCAATGTGGGAAGTGAGGGCCAGGAGGGAATCCCTATGGATGGATGCCCAGTTAGGTTGGCAACACTGGGTGCTGGGTGGAGGGCACAGTGGGAGGCATCTTGCTTGATCAAACTACCCCCCCATATCAATGGGCCTCTCCTTCCTGCAGCCTTGGCTCAGGAAGCAGCTGGGCTTAGAAATGAGGGGTCCAGGAAATCAAGAGTCAGGAGACACTGAACTGTGGGTTCTGAACTGACAAGGTGCTTCTGTTTTGTCCAGGCTCCCTCATCTCCTGCCAAGATGTCCTGCCAGCAGAACCAGCAGCAGTGCCAGCCCCCTCCCAAGTGCCCCTCTCCCAAGTGCCCCCCAAAGAGCCCAGCACAGTGCTCACCCCCCACCCCCTCTGGCTGTGCTCTTAGCTCTGGGGGTGGCTGTGGCCCCAGCTCTGAGAGTGGCTGCTGCCTGAGCCACCACAGGCACCACCGCAGGTCCCACCGATGCCATCTCCAGAGTTCTGACTCCTGTGACAATGGTGGCTCCAGTTGTGGCCACAGCTCTGGGGGCTGCTGCTGACCTGGACTCTGATGCTGAGACAAGTGATTTCAGAGGAAACAAGAATCTAAAAGGCCAAGGAAGAGCCCCAGCCAGACACAGCCTTTCCTAGACAACCCATTCTAATCTTCTCAGGCTGAGCTGCAGTGTTCCAGGGATAGTTATTCCCACTCTCTCCAGATGATCTTCCAGTCTGCTGTCCAAGTCCTTACATTTCCTGATCCCCTGTGCCTGACAATGATTGGCAGTGTCTGTGCCTGACAACCCTGTGAAAAAATAAAGCTTTCTTCCTGATTACCATGGCAGCTCATGTGTATTTTCACTCTGTCCCTTCCCATGTGGATAAGTGTGTGTCCCTTGGTCCACTTCTCAGGCCCAGCACCGCCCTACACAGGGTGCAGAATCCCAGTCCTAGACTACAAAACAATAGAGTCTATCAGTCTTTCTGTTGCTGATTGTGAGGTGGGGGGGGGCTGGTAGAGAAGAGCATTGGAGGCCTCTAATCATTAGTAAAAAAAAATGAGTTTCCCCATGAAACATGGGGTGTGGGTTCCTCTCACAATGGGCTCTTCAGAATCCTAGGAGGAGCTACTATGTGCTGTTTGATGAGCTATTTCTTGCATCTCCGTTAAGAAAGAGAGAATGTGTAGTAGGCTATTATCAGAAAACAGGCAGAATAAGCATTCTCAACCAGGAATAATCTGTCCTTCCAGAGGACATTTGTCAGCATGTAGACATATTGTAGCTTGTTTGTAGATACTGAGGTGGAAGTGTCAAATACTACTGGCATCTAGTGGGTAGAGACCAAGAATGTAGCCAAACATGCTACAGCACAGCACAGCGCCCGACCCCCATAACAGAGTTCTCTGGCCCAAAATGCCAAGGCCACAGATCCTTGAAGTAGAAAAAGAAGTAGGAAAATGGAGGGACAGAATCAGAAAGAACAGATAACTTCATCTGCTCAATGAATGTCCCAGAGAGCTGGTGGGGGGAGGGGGAGAGGAATAGAGGAGAGAGAGAGAATTAGTTAAAGCAAAGTTGTGTGTTAGAGGGAAAATGGAGCTGAGAGTTTCACAAATGTGATAATATGAAGAGTGTAAATGAGGAGACAACCAGAAAAAAAGTTAAGTGGGAACATGAGAAGTTTTTCTAGGATTATAGATTAGTATAAGATCAGAAACTCATTAGTGCTTATCATTTGCTAGGAACCCCTAAGTGGCTGATATAAGCTCATTTAATGTTCGAAACAACCTGTAAGGATGTCCTTAACCACCCCATTTTACAGAGGGGGGAGCTACAAGTCCACCTGTGTGGGGACTGAGGCCACACAGCCGGGAAGTGGGGCAGCAGAGGCCATGCTGCCCGCCACCTTGTTGCTTGGCCCTCCCTTGAAACTTTTTAAGAGAGCTTTGAAAAAATGAGTTTTTTCACTTAACATTTATTTTGCCCTGTTTAACTTTCTTGTATTTATTTTTGTTTTATTTTTTTAAGCTGCTGAGCTGAGAGTCCAACCATGATTTCAGTAAAACTATTTTTTCAAAAATTCAGTCTCCCATATTTGAGACCTAAAATGTGGAATTCAACTCTCCCCTAGGTTAAAATCACTCACTGAGAGATTATTCTCACTCTGTCTGCTGATTGTTGAAATAATACTGTAAAAAAAGCAGTCTATCCAAGTTATCAAGATGATTCTTAGGTTGAGCCAAAGGAACATCATAGAGCTTGAACCAAATTCCAGTTGAAAACATGGGAGATACACCAAGCAAATCATCATTATCACCACCACTACTACCACCACAATCATCATCCATCCTTGTAGCACTTTGGGAGTTCACTGAATCAAAAAATGTTTTTTTGTCCTTAGAAAACATCAGACTGGCTATTTATATTCACTTTAACATTCAAGGACTGGAGTTGCTGAAATTTGGTGGATTTAATAGAGACAAGGGTCCCCAAGGAGTCTGATGTGAGATGCACCAGGTATGATTGACTCTTCAGCTCAACACAATTCTTTAAAGTAGGAACCACAGTTGCCATGTTTGGATCCATCACCATGACCACTTGTCACTCAAACCCTAAACAATTCTGGGGTAGCATTCCTCCATGAGACCAAGACAGTATAGAGTCATGGTGAAAATATGCCTCAAAAAATGTTCTGGATGAGTAGACTTGGCTGAGGGGTGAGAGTCACAGCTATGCATGGAAGACCTTGCTCAGCCTCAAATGAAGGGAAATTGGCAAACCCAGAGCCACACTTTACCAAGAGCTGAGGACCACCATGCAGAGAGTGGCTGGAATGCATAGGCCACATTCTGAACTGTACACCAGCTCCCAGAAAAACAGGACTCAATCTTTTAAGTAATAAAGCCTGTCCTTCTGCCACGGACTGTAGAAGGAGGCTTGGGAACTCAGAAGCTCTTGTCAATTTCAAGCTCTCAATGTGTTTCATGAAAAGGCTGTGTGTGCAAAGTGGCCTCCAAATGCAAAGGAGTTGATAAGCCAAAGAATAATGCAAACAAATCCTGTTTGTTGGTTATAGGGAACTCCCTTACAGAAAGCCGTTCTGAGCAACAGCAGAATGAAATGGATCCCCTTATCATTTACCCTGCAGACGACGTGTTTTATACCTCTCTAAGAAATGGACATATGAACTCTGAAAGGAAGGCATCCAGGGGAACAAAGGGACCAGATACCGACGCTCTGGCACCAGGGGGAGTTACACATTGAGGGTGCCATGCCCCAGTAAAAGGAAAGGATTACTGGTGTGACATTCCAGATTTCCATCTGGGGGAAAATCAAGGGTGGAACAGAGGTTCATGCAATTAGTTTTAAAATGGAGCCAGAAGTAAAAAAATAAATAAATAAAATGGAGTCAGCATTTTAAGACAAAGTTAGCTCTGTCCGCATACAATGCCAGAGTATTCAACAATTCCTGAAGTTAGTAGGTACACTAAGGAGGGAGAAGAAACAGGAGTTAGTCCAACCAATAATGTCTGGTCCTGCAACACTGGAACAGTTAAAGAAAGCTATTAAAGAAACCCCTAAAAGTGGACCTGGAGAATTAAGAGTTCAATGGGCTCTAGATGAGCTCAAGATACCACAGTCTTCATGAGGAGACCATTCCATCCCAGAATAAGATTCAACAGGAAATATTTACTGAGCATTTATTATGTGCGAACACTACTACAAGAAAGTTCCCGAATTTTCTGGCAATACAGCAGAGTAAGGCACAAGTGGCCCTCTGTGTAATTTAATTCTTGTGCCCTTACAATGGGGAGGCAGCAGTGCAGGTCTGATTAACACAGCGAAGGACCTCAGCCTGGAGAAATATTGAGGTTTAAACATATTGGCTTTGCTTTCATACCAAAGGCAATTATCAAATGAGAACAAAGGATAAATTGCTTATGGGGATGGGCAGATTATTAGTGTACACACAGGCCTCTGTCCTGATGCCTGTCCCAATTTCCATCCTTCACTTCCTCCAAAGTCCCAGTGAAAACATGTGTTTGCACTGGTGCTGTGAAGGTGCTCTCATATTATCCATTATGCCACATTTGAGCATCTGTCGGGCAGCCACAACTAAAGGCCTTCCTGTAGCAAAATAAACAGACACATTTACTGTTAATAATGTTTCTTTCAAAACTATTATTTTAAATTATATGTGTGATGTAAAAAATTGTCCTATTCTTAAGCATGATTATATTTCAGAAGAAAACACAACTCTAGTGTTATAATAAAATGATAAGACAATTATACAGTTGATTTAAATGCAGTTTCTGCATATATTAGTCAATCACATCAATTGCATCATATCAAGTGTACATAATAACACTACCACCCCTATCAATTATTGTTCACCTCCTATCACTGGCTATCTTAGCCTAGATAAATCACCTTCTCTGAACTACTCCTGAAACTGAGAAACATAGAGAATGAATGACTTACTGATACATCATTTATTAAATATAGGTTAGTTTCTTATATCATCTCTGATTTCAACTCTAATGATCTATAGTTTATTTTGCTTTTATAATATTATTTCCTTTTCCCTCCCCACACACTTCTACATTCATAGAGCTAACACCTGAAGAAAGAAGGAAACAAAGCCAAGAATATTTAACTCTATATTATGGTTAAATATTTCTTAATGTGTCTCTTCAATCAGCCATATTCTGTACTCAGACATTAGCTTTATCACCTGTCTCTTTCCAGAGACCCCCTCTGCCTTATGGGTTTTGTGAGTTCCTGAAACTCATGGTTCCACTTGAACCAGTTGCACCTGTATAGATCAGGCTCCTCAGCTCACTGTTCCTGATACATACCCATCACCCATCCCTGCTGGCCCCTGACCTCATCTCAACCACTCCCAAGTGATACCAAATGCCAATATATGAGCAGACCAAAGCAACAGAAATCTGACACCTAAAAGCTCTTTCCAAAGCCCAGGGACTCCCCACACTTATTACAGCACTCATCAGCTTGGGTCATAGTTACTTGGTTGCCTGTCTGTCTACCCCACTACACTGTGAGCTACTCAGTCAGGACTCTATCTTACTTATTTATGATTCCCTGTGTTTATCACAATGTCTAGTGGGTAGCAGAATTTTTTGTTTATTTATTTGTTTGTTTTAAATAATAAAAAAGGAAGAAAAGAGTGAAAAAAGGAAGGATGAGAAAGAAGGATGGAGGCACAGAGGGAGAGAGAGAGGGAAGAAGGTAGGAAGCAAAGAAAAGCCCACATGAAGCTTAAAGAACAAGTTTGAACAGTCCTGGCATCCTAGATCCCTTCTTTTACAAAAGCTTACTCTCTCTCCCCTTTCCTTTCCTACCACCAAGAACCTACAGCCTGTAAGTAAAAAGGTCCTGTAGTAATTCTCTGTGGGCCAGAACTCTCTGTGACACCAGCATTTGTCGTCAAGGTGTTCAGACAGGTACTTTCTGAGCACTGAGCACCAGTCACTAAGATGCTTTCCTGTACAGACATACACAAAGGTCCTTAGGTCCCTGATATGTCACAGACA